ATCTCCGAGCTGATCCTGCAAGAATTGTTGGCTGGCTGAGGTAGTCTGCATATTATGTCCTCATGCGAGAATGAAGCCCCATCATCTTCATTTGGAACAAATACAAAACCAGTGTGCTCTGCTTCGACAGAAACTCGACTAGAAACTTTCTTTAGAAAAACTCCCTCATACTCATTATCTTCTAGCAAATCTATACGAGCGATGTAATGTACATTTCTAGATCTCCCGTCTACTTTGACAACCACGTAATCATCTTCCATGATTTCTTCTGCAGATAATTCATCTTCATCGGTCGTGACATCATATCTAACAACAGCACACTCCTCTTTTGAACTATTGCTAGTATTGTGGGGGCGAACTTTCCTATTTTTTGTGTAACGAAAAGTTTTTTTTTCGAACTGCATATCTTGTTTTTCTTTCTTTTTTCATTCTCTGGGGAAATCTCTTTTAATACAGGCGTGGATGTTAAAATCTTTGTCTTTCCTTTTTTCGGGAGCGCTTGGTCTTTCTTTGTGGAGCTTTTAGGATTTTTTGAATCTCGCTTGGCGATACGTACGATGAGCAAGAATTTGATAGGTCGGGATCTGGGTTGCCCGTTTTCTGGAACTGAAATGATGATTCATTAACCCTCGGTGTAGAAGTGCAAAGATTTTCATTACTACATCCCGGGGCCAGTGGATCCGTGCATTTTGCGGACTGTCCTGGTTCATTACGATCAACGCCAACAACTTCTCGGTCCGTCAAAGTTGCAGCTGCAAAATCTGCATCAGTAAAAATATCGCGATTGAAAGGATATATACCAGTGCTTTGAAATCCAGATAGAATATTCCTCGATGTCATTGCTGACATTTGAGCCTCTTTTACAATGCCAGGAACATCATATATTGTAACAGTTTTCCCAGCATGACTACGTAGCCAACTCTCCATCGCTCTGTTATAACTGGCTTTAAAGGGACCATACACCGTTTTATCAAGCGGTTGCAATCGATGAGATGTGTGAGGTGGTAAAGTAAGCATAACTACTCCATTGGATCTTGCCATCTCAACCGCACGTAAAGAAATATGAGACTCGTGGTTATCCAAAATCAAAAGAATTTTTCTTTCGAGAGTACAACGAGACTGGCGCACCAGATGTTCTAGATAAACGAGAAAAAGTTCTTCATTAATCCAGCCAGACTTTGTTGCTTGTCCAATGCAGCCCGGTGGCCCTTCAATGATAAAGTGGTTGTGAAAGTTTACGCGCGGAAATATAAACATAGGTGGAAGCACATTCCCAGAGGCGCAGATGGTGTAGACTACCGTAACCAGTTCACCACGCTCAGCAGACGTAGCCGCACCCACTTGTTTTTTACCCTTGGCTGTAACAATATCAGATGGGGTTTGAACAGTGGTGCACCCGGTTTCATCGAGATTGTAAATACCTTCAGGATGAAAATCGTCCACATCCATGACCTGTGCCAAGTTGTCGAAAAATTCACCAACCGTGTGACGATTAAATGCAGTCGCCCTTCCGAGTGAAGTTGCCTCTGGAGTCCGTATGGAAAGATTTTGTCGTTTTTTGAACCCTAGCCACCAATAGAAGGGTTAGTCGATACATGTATCAACTAATGGAACCACGACTGTATCAACTAGTCAACCTGTGGCCATTTTGAAAAAGGGCCCGTAGTGGGAAGAAATCAAATCAGAATCCAGAAACATGTAGGCTGTTATGTAGGCGATATCATACACTACTGCAAGGAAATACTCGCTTGCATCGCTCAGTTACAATGCCTGAAAAAATAATCAATTTACCTGGATTTGACGTTTTCACTCCAGATCTCAAAAATTGATTTTTTTCGAAAATTTTAAACGTGCTGCAACCAACATCGTCAGACGACTAACAGAAAGGAAGATCATATTCTAGCTAAACACCAGGTGGCGCATCAGTTTCTTAAAGTGCATTGCACGGCCGTGAGAAGCGCTGTATCATCTAAACCAGTGGTTCCCAAACTTTTTTGACCATCGCCCCCCTAAAGTAGTTTATACAACTTCATCGCCCCCCTGCACTACAAAAAAATGTAAAGTCAGAAACGAATTTATTACAGACCAAATAAGAAGACAAATCATAGTTTATAGTGTTTTTTAATGAGATAGATGAGCTTGGTGTTCTTCAGTGAGTGTTTTATTATATCTAAAATTACCCCATTTACTGATGGAAAGGTGATTTCATTGTTCTAATAGCAATAGTAGCACGGCTGAAAACCCCTTTTTCACCATATAATAGGTCGGAAATGAAAGAATCCAGGGTCCTACCTCCTCAAAAACCGCCGTGTACTCTTGCCTTATAGCATTTCACTTCCTAAATTCACCCCATTTCACATTAAAATAATAAGAACAAAGTTAATTTTCCCAAACTTATAATAATGATTTTCGTACATTTCATTCATTCGTACAGCCTGATGACCTGCACCAAAATACTTCGGAAAAATCCATCCCCGATTCCTCATCCTATCACGGCCTCCAGTCCATAAGTAACCAGCCATTTTTTTGAATTCATGGACTCGGATGTGGAAGAAGCCGTGACTGACTATCGGCTACGGCCCAGGGGTCGGCAAATTTTATGTCGCTCGCAGGACAAAATTCAGGGTTGCTAGTCTTTTGCGGGTCGCATATATTTTTTGAGAGTTAAAAACGGAACACACGCGAAAACTGCGACAATCGTGAACTCAACTCAGTCGTCTTATTAAAAAAATATTACAATGACATTTAATGTGACACTGTCTTGTTGCTGCATCGCGCTGGATAGCTTTACGACGCCAATATTGAAACATTTTCTAAATGGGCATCACCAAACCCACTTCTTTGCGTGTTCTTTGTAATGTTCATTTTCGAAAATAATGGTTTGCACAAATATGTACTTCCAAACATCGAAGTGAATATTTTCGCACGATTTGTGAAATTTTGATAAATATATATATATTTTCTTTAAGAAGATACATCCTCACAAAAATCAAGCAGTGATGAATCTCCCGAATATGAATATGAATTTTATTTCCTTATTGCTTTGCAATATATTCGAATATTTACTGCGCTATTGAACCCCTGCACTCAGCATCAACTTTTCTGCTTGTTTCCATTTGTCTAATATTAATTAAATTGTAGGCTCGTTAAACGAGTGTCTGTTCACTAAATTGTTAGGATATAGTATAATTTACTCTAAACGTGTCTCACGATAAATTCTGTTACGTAAAAAAAAGGATTTACTCCTCGAGCGTAGATTATAAATAAAAAATTTTCATCGTCAAAACCGCCGTTTGGATATTTCCCCGGGCATAGACTTCCTTGTTTACTTCGTGACATTGGCCAATCAGCAAGATGCAAAAAACGTAACAATGCCCCCTTTCGCAGGCGGTCAGACACTCTCACTCGGACAGATTTTCAGGGGTGGTCGTGAGCACTACCTCATTTTCGCGTTTTTGAATTATATTCGTTAGTATTTAGTTGTTTTTCGGAAATTTAAATATAAATCAAATAAGTCAATGATTATCGCCCACATGATTCAAGCCTGCGAATGCACACAGAGTACAGAATTAAGTGCGCCGAACATAAAACAGCTTTCGCGAAATCGTCCCCTTAGACTTTTTCGCCCCCCCTCTGTATCGTTTTCGCCCACTGGGGGGGCGATATCGCCCACTTTGGGAATCACTGATCTAAACTACAGCATCAATTAACCTGCCTCTCCCCTACAGGACATTGTGCATGTATGGCTGGTTCAGCGGAGGCATGTACACATATTGCCATAACACTTTTTGCAATAAAATTCCTGGTTAAATATGTGTCAAAAAAATCTTGCACATCACAGTCGTGCTATTGACTTTGCGGTCTAACAGATGTTGGGAAACCTGCTAAAATTTGCATTATCAACTTTTCCAGGCCATCAGTAGATTCATGCCACGGTCTTTTTTTGATCAGTGTCTCACATCTCAAAATTGATTTAAAAGGTATCAACAGATTTTACATCGTGTCTTTATTTTACTGTGTTCTTTTGACTGTTTTTGGTGGACGGGCACGTGCTTGTACGTTTTTAACTTTTTCATTAGGTTCTACCCGTCCTCCAGGTCCTCTGCATTTTGTTTGACCGTTTGTTGTTGCTTTGTTTCTTTCAGAGTGACCAAAATAAAATTGACTGATTGCTACACGATTCGACAGATCCGACGCCATTTCGACTTTCCTACGCAAACAAAATTAAGGAATGCAATAGGAGATTTAATGATGGAGCAACATCACAAACAATAGAATAGTGGAGAATTTTCTCAATGGAGAGATTATTAGAAAGATTTATAACGAGACAAGAAATGGCAAGAACATTTATCTCAATATTTGGAGGATTAAACTTACGTCAAATTATCAGAACAGAAATTAAAAGATTAACAAGCACATAGAAAAGAGAGAGTGAAGAAACAATAACAAGATGCAGACGAGAAATTGAAGACAGTTGTTCGGTGCCAAATCCTCTTGGTGAAGCAGCAACGAAGAAAGCTACAAATAGTGGAAGAAAGCATCGCTGGAGATCATTTGCAGAAATCAACAAAGTAAAAAGGAGAAAAAAAGAGCAGGCAGCTGCTACAAATAAACGGTCGAACCGCCAGCAAAACAAAATAGAACTGAAGAAAACATTGAAGACGAACTACAGAAGAATAGAACGAGGCGTGGCCAGATCAATATATAAAAGAATTTGAACAAAACGAACGCGATATGAATGACATGGAAGAGATTCATACTGCTGAAAGTAGCAATGTTGCTTGAACCAGAGATTCTACATCTAGCGGCGGCTATTCGACTGGCGTTGTGGCTACTAACTATGCCGAAGGAACAGATCATGCCTCTTACAGAATAGTAATAAACGAGGCAATAAATCAAAAGGCAATAAAACAAACAGATACAAAATAGGTTGACGTATTAAGGTGCGTTTACACTGGATTGTAGTCTTTACTATTTGCTATACCGGTATGAATTCTAACAACAATTGTATTTTGAATTCATTACAAACTTTGTTTCACAGTCATGTCGTTTGAAGAGCTTTTAATAAATGAGGTGAAATCTAGACCATGTCTGTATGACATGAGTCGTCACGATTATCGTGATGTTAATATCAAATCCAACAATTGGGCGGAGATAGGAGCATTGCTCCATGTTACTGGTTAGTTACTTTTATTATGGCATTGCTGGATTTATCTTGATGGCAAAATCACGTTGTCTAAAATATTTTCAAGTACACCAAATTGAAAATAAAAGCTTGCTTTGCTCAACTAACACCACAATCTGATAATGCTATTTAGGACAGCAGGCAAGAGAGAAGTGGAAGGCGTTGCGAGACAGATTCGTCAAGATGAAAAATAAAAATGAAAGTACCATGAAGTCAGGGGCACCCGGAGGCGTTTCAACGAATAAATGGCATCTATTTGAACACATGACTTTTTTAGATTCCTTCGTGCAGCATCGAAAGTAAGTTATTTTGCATAAAATCGGCACAAGAGTAAATATTGAGCTGCTGTGATATGTTACTATGATGAAAAGTGTGTGCCTATTTCAATGATATATCTATCACATGTTTTGAAATGATCTGTTCAATTTGGTACAAGTTAAATTCTTTATTAATTTGAAGTTATTTCAGGACCTTTTCTATTTCATATTTCAGAACGTCCTCAAATTTAGAACTTGTCACTCTATCAGCTGTGGTAGAAGGGGAAGAAGTGTCTGGGTCATCTTCTGTCGCACCGACACCAAAAAAAAGGAAGGAAGAAGTGAACATGCGGATTTTGAAAATTCTTGAGGAGGAGAAGGATGGTAATTTTTTTAACCTTTTCGAACATCGTTTTTGTTTCATGTTTTATCTACGGTCACACATGATATGGTGTGATCGAGATTAGTTTATTATGTTGTAGAATTAAAGGAGCGTATGCATAGCATGCTCATATAGACAAGACAGCTACCGTATATACTCGCCTATAGGTCGCAACTTTTTACCTATTTTTTTTAAAAAAATATAGGTGTGACCTATCCGCTCGACATACAGACGATTTTACAAAAATTTGGATATAGGCCATTTCTACAAATCGTAACACGCCGCACGCATCTATTACAGTTGACCTGGTTCTAACCATATAAAATTATGAGCGTCATTAACATATTTTGATTATATTTTGCCCTACAAAAAAAAAAAATAGGAAGATACCTATGCAAAAATCTAGGAAAAGGGCTTTTTAAATCCGTAGATTTTCAGTTTGACTTATGTGCGAGTCAAATCAAAATCAAACTTTTTTAACACAAAACTAATAGTGCGACCTATACGGTGGTGCGACCTATAGGCGAGTATATACGGTATGCTCAAATATTTGGCGAAAAAAAATAATAGCCTTCTGGGGAAAAATTTTATCTTTAACCAATGAAAATTTCAAAACAATTGGTCCAGTAACCAAAGAGAAAAGCGATTTCTTCTGAACGTGTCAAAGAAGAACAAGACTAAGTCTAAGAACAACAAAACGTTCACTATGTCCACTACGTGTCCAATAAACACGTAATGGTATAGAATATTGATACTATATATATTTATTTGTAGATGATCCAGACAAATTCTTCCTTCTTTCACTTCTACCACAGCTGAAAAGACTGTCTCCTGAGCGTGCTTCATCAACAAAGATGAAAATCATGCAATTACTCCATGAGGCTGAATTTGAGAAATGATTCAAATTCAATTTCCCACTTAAAAATTAGAAAATAAATTCAAACGTTTTTTTATCTTAATTACAGTACATTACTAAATTTAATTGACTCCGTACAAACTTGAGCAACCTTCTCTAAACAAGAACTCAATTTTCTAAAAAATTTTAATGTTTTTTATTGTTAGTTTACCTCAACCATTTTATTATTTGTTCAGGCAGTATGCTTTTTCATTCTGGCTATTTCTCATTACAGCTTCATGGAGTATTTGCATGATTTTCATCTTTCTGCTGCTGTTTATTTTCTTTTATCAAGCACAAATTCTTTTTTCAATTACGTTTATTTTCAAATATTCTTTGATGAAAAATTTGGATTATTTTCCAAATTGATTACAGCTTGAAATATTTTAGTGTAGCGTGTCAAATGTAAAATCTCTCATTCAGTAATATGTTTTTTCGATGGTAACCACTAAGCTAGATAAAAGGAACTTTTCATGTCCTTCTGACTCTTTGAAATTGCCAGGGGCAAGCTCCATCAACCATGAAATAATTTTTAAAGCTGTCGCGAACAGCCGCCGCCGCTACACTATTTCTGCGACCTTGCCTTTGCAGGGGCAAAAAACTGTTATCCTCTTGTACCCGCCAACTTCCTCTTGTTATGTTTCCCTCCAGGTCTTCCCTATCCACTTCACCTGCATCTATCAGTGTATGGCGTCTTACATAATTATGCAAACAACATGCTGCCTTCACAACCAACTCTGCGTTTTGTGGCGACACACCCATGGGCCTCCTAAAAACTCTCCACTTCGCACTCATTATACCGAATGCATTTTCTACTACTCGCCTTGCCCTGGATAGCCTGTAGTTGAAAACTTTTTCATCAATTGGCAAATTTCGCCCCGGGTATGGTCTCATCAGGTGCTTCTGTAGTGGGAAGGCTTCATCCCCCACTATCACATAGGGAGCCTTTTTTGAGCTGTTAGTAAGTGTTGTTTCATCCGGCAAATTCAGGGCCCCTTCATTCATGAGCTTACCGAGAGCAGAGTGGGAGAAAACACTTCCATCACTCTGCTTTCCGTAAGCTCCCAACATCGACAAAAACAAAATTATAATTGGCGTCGACAAGGGCCATTAGCACAATGCTGAAGGTGTGCTTGTAATTGTAATAAAGGGACCCTGAATTCACCGGTGCTTGAATTTGTATATGTTTCCCATCTATGCTCCCTATGCAATGTGGGAAATTCCACTTTTTCTCATACTCTTCAGCGATTTGCTTCCATTTTGTAACTGTTGGCGGGCTTAAATATTCTTTTTTGAGTGATGTCCAAATTGCCTCACAAGTTTCTGTAACTATTCCTGAAACTGTTGATTTCGATGTCCTATATGAATCTGCTATTGTGGTATAAGAATCCCCTGTTGCTAAAAATCTGAAATATGATATATGTGCACTTTTATTTGATGTTATGTTTATTTTGTTTTTAATAGTTCTATGTGGATGTGTTATAATTTGAATATTTTCTTCCACATACATTTTGCTACATGGTTTGAATATACAGTAATTGCTCACCTTAATGTTATTCCAAGCCTCTCTTCAGGAGATATAGGTTCTCGGAAATTAGTCGTGGTTTTAGTTATGTAAGGAGCCACTAGACTCCTCAGGTCATCAAACATACCAGGGTCCAGGCGGTATTGGTTACGAAATGCAACCGTTCTTTCAAGTCTCATTTCTTGGACAAGTCTATGGTACTCACCTGCGTAGAAAGTATTATTAAATGAAAGATAAATGTTTATTCAACTTCAAGCTCTACCGTCTGTTCAATACACAGGTAGATGAAGAAAACAGTATAAGATAGCCTATGATTAATTAATCTTATATTAGTATTTTGAGGAAAGACCACGCAGTTTCATAGGGCGATGATTTGAACTTACCAAGCTCTTTCCTTCTTTTTAATATGGGATGAACCCAATGTTCCCTTTGCTTTTGCTCCGTATTGTTTGCCAAATAAAGGGCGATTGCCAATCTTTTCCTTTTCGAAAGTGGCATATTTGTAAATTTTGTAGCGGAGTGGGAAGCAGACGAAATTCTAGCTGAATTTCCCGCGTCAATGTTCCTAAGCAACCGCCTCTAGCGCCCTTGAGTGGTGGAGAAATGACGCGCGCTATGTAAACACCCGCCCCGCGCGACCAGAAGCCGCGCCGCGCCGCATCCAGTGTAAACGCACCTTTATGGGAGTGATAAATTTGGAGATGGACACGCATAACCTCAAGGCGGACGTCGCCGAAATTACATTTGGCACAGGTTCTACGAAAAAAGAGAGAAACCCGTCCCCGTGACATTTATCTCATATTATATTTTCGTTTACGTCCTATATGTAAATATATATATTTATGAAAACCTTTTGTGTGTTTTATTGGAGTGACGGAACTGGGTGACTACACAGCTAAAGAGTTATACGTGGGAAATTGAGATAATCATCATGTTGAAGAATAAGTAGATAACTTACTACCGACTATAAATGGCGAAACGCAGGGCCAACGACGAAAACTGGAGCTCACCGGGAGGCATATCAGGTACCTCCGGTGTGAAAAGACAAAAAAAGAAATACCTTTGGCGATCCAACTGATATGAGCGACAATCGTTCGAGTTGTTGGTGCTTCTCCACCGTTTCCTGCGAAAACTTGATACGAGAAACCGACGCTTGGTTAATATACGTCAAAACCGATCGAAGAAGACTCTAGGCGGAAAGTAGCCCATGGTATAATAACTACTGCAGGACGAACTTGGGAATCCAGACAGCCCTTGCGGAAGAAGAGGGTGTAACAAATATTGACAGCCAACAAGATTGTAATTCTGAACAATTATCTAGCGACTCTGAGAACAAGTAGAGATACATGGGTGAAATACATGTACAAATGAGGCTGTATGGATGATATTCCGGCAAAACTGAAACGATGGACAGGCATTTCAGAAAACCATCAAGATGTACACAAAAGAGTTCTGCAATGGCACCAACTCATAGTCGTTGCCTAGTGATCAGCATTTTAAAATGGGCAATGTTAGGCAGTAATTTATGACACAAGACCTACAGATTAATGAAAATTTTGGGTTTTACGTTCAGTACAGCTTCTATATTATGACTAGGAACAGTTTAGTACAATAAAAATAGTATGCAGTCAGTATGCAATAGTTGTGCAGTCAAGTGAATAATGTCAAGTTAGCAGATATGATTCACTGATTAGGTGTGGTAAAACTTTCGAGTGTAGTGTAAAGACATTGTAGCCTGTAAATAGATTGTTTTTGGATGGAAAAAATGGATATAAGAGCAGAATTAAGTGTTATTTCACATGTTATTACATTCACATGGCAGTAAAACATTTTTTTTTTCAGTAGCATTTTAGTGTTGCTGATATTTCGTCAGCCACACACAATGACGATTCGGAGTTTGAAGATTACTTGATTGATGGAGAGGATGATGATTGCATTGCTGGCCACAAAATGAACAATTGTACGGACCAAAATAATAGTAATTTAGATGACAAAATTCTTCCAAATGATGCGATAGATATACCAGAAATAAATGACACTGAAAAAATACCAAAATCAAAAGCTATATTTAATTTCGAAACAAGACGTTTGCTTGTTCCTCCATCACCATTCGAAGTCCAGTTTGACGATATCCCACTGCAGTCTGAGCCAGCTGCTAACCTAACCGTACACCTTATGAGTATTACAATATGTTTGTAACTGACGACATGCTTGCTTACTTGGCTGAAGAGTCAAATAACTATGCTCCCCAAGCAGCAGAAACAACATTATGTACTACTGCAGATGAACTCGAAAGTGTGCTGGAATGTATTATCATATGAGTTCGGTTGCCATGCCCAGTTTGGTCTATATTGAAACAATGATACACGCTACCAACCGCGAAACCGATTTCAGAAAATTTGTCGGTATATTCATACAACAGACAAACATGGAACCGACTGTGGTGAGGAAAAAATCCAAGAAACGTTCCTGAGACCGTTGAACGTGGAGCACAGATGTCGTCAGTTGTGCAAGTAAGAAAGTTAACACCAATGACGTCGCCGGCAACAAAAGGCTTTGTAGACGCCATTTCCCATCAATGCTTCCGAAATCGCGTGAGAGATTGAATACAATCTCGCATGCGAAGGTTTCAAATAGAAATGGCAACAGCGCAAAAAAAAGAGTATTGAATCCGAAAATTCGACATCGCGACATTCTATGCCCGAAATTTCGACAGTGCAGTAGAAGCTTTCCGAACACGGCCGAGTAAGCATATAAATACTGAGATAACAGACACATTTTATTCAGGCTTTATGCTGCTCATCAGTATTGTTGTTACCAGTGTGTCAAAATAAAATTCAAAATTTCACATTGATTCTGATGAAGAATACCAAGAATCTTACAAAATTGGTATACTTGAATTTTATTGAACTGCATTCATTTCATGGAAAAAGATGACTGTCACTGGAAATGAAAAAAAGGACAGGGTATGAAAAATTTGTCGCTGGATGACAGATCTAAACACAAACTTTGCCAAAGTAAGCCTTGTAGAAAAGCAGTGTATTGATGAAATAATGATGGCCTTTGAAGGGAAGTCATTATTAAAGCAGTATTTACTTACAAAACCTCAAAAATGGGGTTTTAAGCTATGGGCTGGCTAAGTGCTCCTCAAGTGGTTACTTATTTTTTTGTTGATATATATCAAAGCGAAGGTTCTAAACCAAATGAGAACAATGGTAAAGCTCATTGTAGCCTGGGCGGAAATGTTGTCCTCAAGCTGTGTTCTTAACTGCCTAGTAAACACAATTTCATAATCTTTGCATTTACTTATTTTATTTTAATGATCCTTTATTTAGTCACAGAAGTAGTGTAGATTTGAATGCAATTATTCTTTTAATATCAATAATTCGATATAAAATTTGAATTATGAGAAATTCTATCATATTTGAAAATAAGACACCTGACATAACACTTCTTAAAAAGCAGTTAAAAATGGCCCTAATGCGTAGAAAAAGTATTGAAAGTTCCAAAGTAAACAAACCCTTTGAAAAGGAATTACAGAATTTATGTGAAGCAATTACGTAGGTTTATGATAAGTATTATTATACAGTTGCTAATTTTTTTTTTTTTTCTCTTTTTATTGTATTATATCATTACTCCTATTAAAAATGGCCCTAATGTAACAATCGTGGCAAGGAGGAATAGGGTCGCGAATGTTCAAGCCAGACCGATTTGCGAGCAATTACCAATTTTCATACGACACTCGATGGGACGCTGCGATTTTGCTTTGTATTCGCATGTGGTTGGGCGGTAGATTTTTCGAGAGATGCTGGACTAACGTAGGTTTTTTGTAATATGTCAGTGTTTCAAGGTACACGATAGACTAGTTTGACACTACATCCGGTCCTCTGACGATACTGCAGTACCGGTACACCACTACGCAGTACCGGTACACCACTACTAGGTACCGTACCGGTACTCAACCCAACCGAAAATAGACCGCGGTACTGTACATGCAAATTAGCATAAGTTAGTCAGTATTAAATTTATAATATTAAAAAGACTGTTGAAGCAACATTTACACACAGAAAGCTTTTCGAAGCAGTTACGAATAGCTACCGCGCGTAGTCTGAAACGGCGCGATAAGGCAGGCGTCCCCTGAGAATAGGTTGCTGGCAGCATCGATCGAAGGTCATGAAAGTTGGTAATGGATGTTTAGTGGAATTGAGCTAGAGCTCATACGGTATTGTTTAGTAAACTTACTCGACAAAACAAAAGATATGAAATAAAAGGAGCAAAGAGGATTGTAAGGCGAAAGAAAAAAGCGTTTGTAAGTTATTTCCAAAATCATAGGAATTCCTGCAAGGAGTTATTGCTTTTGTGTGTTCACTGATACTGTTTATTTATTATAGTAATATATATTCAAATGCACATTATATACTATTCAATCCGTGCATAAGCCATGGTGTGACTTTCATGTAAGAATAGTTTAGGGTCCATCCATCCCCAAATACTTCCTTCACCTGGTTCCGAGAACGCGCGACGCTGCTGGGAATC